TGTGGTCAGATGGTCACCTGACCTATTATGATGACCAAACTCGGCAGAGTGTAGAGGATAAGATGCACGTGCCAGTGGACTGCATCGACATCCGCATGGGACATGAATGTCAGGATATTCAGCCTCCAGATGGGAAGGCAAAAGACTGCTGCAGATTGTTTGCCGAGACGGGAAAACCATCAGTCTTTGTGCAGAAAGCACAGATGATTGTTTGGCCTGGAAATTTACACTTCAGGATTCCAGGACAAACACAGCTCATGTTGGCTCAGGAGTCATGTATGATGAGACTGCCCTGGCTTCCTCCCCACCTCCTTACACAGCCTATGCTGCACTAACCCCTGATGCAGATGGCTATGGTCCATACAGTGGTGCATACCTGCCAGGAGCTCAAGTTTTCTATGCTGCAAACAGGCAGGCTTATGCTGTACCCTATCAGTACCCACATGCAGGACTTTATGGACGGCAGCCTGCCAACCAAGTCATCGTTCATGAGCGGTATTGAGACAGTGACAGTGACCTAGCGCTGGGCATGCTGGCTGCAGCAGCCACAGGCATGGCCTCAGGGTCTCTGTTCTGGGTCTCCTAGAGTCCTTGGAACCTGGATGTGCATAGCTTCTGATACCCTGTGTGCAATAATATACTTTGCGGGGCATTTCTGTTTGTTATAAACGTTTTTAATAATAGTTTTAGTAGTTCTTTTGAAAGTAGTGACATCATACTTATAACTAATCCATATAAATACCACAGAGAAGGCTTTGGACTGCTGTTTAGCTAAAACGTAGACTATCTGGGGGCACTGGCTCATTCTAGGAGTTTTTTATGGCACTCTCAGAATACCTTATTTGAACACACCTGTTTGGAAAGGCCATTTTCCTTTTAGAGTTAGGCCTTAGTGCTTAAGGGATAGTTTAGTTTATTATTACACTAGTAACATGGTGATGTATGAGTGAGTGAGTGATTAGGGCAAGAAGAACTGCAGCTGTTTTGTTTTAATGCCAGACTTTGAAACCTCAGACCAGAACTGGCTGCACGTTACTTCAGGAGTTGTAGGCTGGAACCTTCCTGAGGCAGCCGTGTGATATGCCTACAGCCTCTGGGGCTCTGCAAAGCTGACTGCTCAGGATGATGGGCGGGGTGGCAGATCCTCCTCTTTAAAATGATGCCTTTTCATTTGATTTTTACTAGTTTGTTTTTGGTAGCGATCCTTGGAAAACATCTCAAATTAGGAGTAGACTTGAGTCTCAGCGTTTTAGGGCTTTATCATTTAAAACTCGAACAAGGCAAAACAATTACAAACAAGTATGTGGAGGTAGATTTGCTTTATTCAGAGGCATCATGTTTTTAGTGTTTACTTTGACTATTTTTATTGCCACTTCAGCCTACTTATAGCTTATTTTTCTACTTGTTGAGAAAGTAATATTAAGAGAATGGTGAGGAAAGTGGAATGAGAGCCATAGTTACAGTGCTGTTTCAGGGGATTGGGCTGCACTGAGGATCCTCTTTTCCACCCTTCTGAAGGCTGTTAAAGAGCCCGTTTCCTGTCCTGTGCAGGACTGGGGCTCTGTGGCTGTCCCCAAGCACTGGGGTGCGTGCAGCCCCCATGGATGGCATGGTTGGGGAGACTCAGGTTACAGATGGGGATTGCGGCCTAAGGACATGAATAACCTGCTCAAGGTATTACTCCACCTCATCAGGACACCGGCCTTGTTTTTATTCTTGACTCAAATGTTACAGAGAAGCTTAAACCATTTAATTTGAGCCCCAACTATGTGTGAAGCTCTGGAAAACTGAGAGTCGTGTGTTTCTGTTATTTCTTATTTCTTTATTTATGTAAATTTTAAAACTTCAATTATTCCAGTTTTCTGTCCTGCATGCTTTAAAAAATGTACTTTTACAAAGGCAGTTTAGCACATTGAAGGTCTCTGCCCCTGTATTCCATGTGGCCCTATTTTCCATAAAATACACTCCTAGTAGCACAAATTCTGTTTGTATTCTATGTGGCCAGTTACATACATAGTCTTTTGTTCCACTGATCAACGCACTCCACCTCTAAGGCAGACTTAAATAGATCTATCTCCGTACGAAACCAGATGCCAAATGAACTTTGTGGTGACCACAGGTCTGTTTTCCTAGTCAATTCTGTTGCACTCGTTGACTCTGGAGAGTCTGTTTCCAGCTGAAAAGAAGTATACTTGGCTGTCATCTCTTTGGATGTTTGACATGGTGGAAATTTGCCAGACGTGATGCGTGACAACACTGGTTTTGATGGTTAAAAATGTTACTTTAGTTATTTTACATCGTATGTAGTAAGAATGGTTTTGTTCAGATGGTAACCATTATTTGAGCTGTATGCTTTACTTACAAAACACTACACTCAGTTTTTAATGTTACATCAGGGTATTAATTTTGAACTTGGAGTTACTGGAACCACAGATACTGAGTTATGTCAGTGAAATGCCCTTGAAGCAGATGGCCTCCCTGTGTTCCCCTGGCTTCCCTCTGTCAGAAGGGGGACAGCTATGGACTGAAGCCTGGGCACACGTATTCCCCCGCATCTCCAGTCCCACTGGGCAACTATAGTTGAGTCTGGAAGTTCAGTGTCACTAGTGACTTGATCCTGAGAGGAAATGCATGCTCAGTATAAAGATGGGCTGAGATACTTCATCTCCCTGGCCCCAGCTCTCATAGATGCCAACACTTAGGTAATCCTAAATCGAGAAGTTAGGTGAGTTGGAAGGAACTTGTTCAGGTTTAGTCAGTATTTTACTTCCATGTGTACTTTTAACTAGTTGGCCTTTGACATTGCACACATGCCAGTCTGCTTGTTTCTTAGCTCTGTTCTTTTAATTCCTTGAGTTAACTTCAGGGTCTTAGATGTAAAGAGAAGGGAGAGACCCGTGATTGTGTTTCAGATCATCATTCATGAAACGGGCCAGACCGGGATCCAAGATCTGGATCATGGGAGAAGTTCCTGTCATTGAGACAAAATGACCCACATTTATTTCTGCATTAATTGTGATACCGCGTGATCTATCTTTCTGCTTCCCAAGTTTATGTAGACACCAGCATGGGATGCAGTTCCCTTTTGTCCCCCTAGGTTGATCTTTTTTTCTGATTGCTTGCCTGTCTCTAGTATTCTGTTGTGTCCTCAGAACCTATTTTTCCCTGTATATGCAAATTGTATGTTTATAAGTGAAAATGTTAATACATTAAATGATTGCTAACCTTTAAAAAAATTCAAGGTAGAGAATGAAAGATGAGAACAGAGAGGCAGCTGGGAGTCAGGATACAGAAAGCCTCCTGTGCTGTATGGATCACTAGGACTTTATCATAACCAGGAAAGAATATTGAGCAGGAGAACGTCCTCGTCAGACATGCGTGTAAGTGTAGCTCACTCTGGGGATGGTGTGGAAGATGGATTGGAGAGAATCAAGACTGAAGACAGGGAGTTCCACTGGAGGGATGATACAGAAGCAAGACTCTAGACCTGGGCAAAAGTGAGCCATAGGAAGCTAAATAGGGAGAACAAGATGAGTCAACATCGTATGATGGAAGGGAGCTTGGGGGTGGCATCAAGAGATCTGTGTTCCAGTCCCAAATCTGCCATTAATATTCCCCTCTTTGGACCTCAGTTTTCCCATGTGTAAAATGAAGGAATCCTCCCTGTGGATTACTATTGCTCCGTAGTACAATTCTATTGATTACTATTGCTTCATTTTACTATTACTATTGATTATTACTGCTTCATATTACTATTACTATTGCATTGAACATCAAGTGTGTATGTTGGGAGGACTACCTGTGGATCGGTCCTTGGAAAAATGGGGAAAGAGGCAATGTTGGCCTTTAGCTTTATCATGAAAATTACAAAATATCAAGCATCAGGACAGGCTGTGTTGGGGAGGTGAGGGACTCCCTGCTAATGGGACCTATAGCAAAGGTTCTGTATTTGACAAAGAATATCAAGGGCATTATGTGCTGGCCTAACTGTTAGCATTTCTCCTAGTTATAATAACAGCATTGATCGAGTGCTAAGGATATGCTAGGCACAGTTCTAGGCATTTTATGTGCATTATTTCATTCAATCTTCACTATAGTCCTATAAGGTAGGTACCATTCTTATTCATATTTTGTAGATGAGAAAACTAAGATCCAGAGAGAGTAAGTAATTCTATGTAGTAAGAGGCAGACATGGGATTCAAACTCTGGCATTCTACAGAGTCCCTATTCTTTAACAATTATACTGTACTGCCTTTCATATCAGGTAGCCATCACAGCTAACGTTTCCCTTATGTGTTCTGACTGAGCAGCTAAAAAAATTATACATGTAATACCTCCTTCAGAAGGGTGTGGCCTAGACAGAGCATAGAACTTAAGAGTCAAATAGAGTGAGATTTGTCACCTGCACCTATCAATTGCTGACTCTGTGACTTGGGAAATTTCCTTCCCCTCTCTGATCATCAGTTTTCTTGTCTGCCAAAGGGACAGTAATAGTAGCATATCTTACAGGGTCATTATGAATGTTAAATTTTTGAATGTTTACAAAGCTCCTAGAATAGTCCACGTCCTGCAGTGGCACTACCACCATCATCATCGTCATTGTCATATCTATTAATAAGGGACCAGCCTGACTCGGGGAAGTTATATGGTTGAGTTCAGAGCAAGAAGACCTAAAAACTGTTTCTTAAGAATGTTCTGCATTCCAAGTGGCCAACAGTAAGTTGCATATAGCAAATGCACTTGGGCAACCCATCCTGGTTACAAATCCAAGCTTTCTGTTACCCCTGCTCTTCTTCTTAAGCAGCAAATATAGGGGTAAAGATGTACTAGAACACTATGTTCTTAAAAGTTTGTGTAGTTTTTTGAATAACGGCTTATTGAACTAAAGAAAAAAAAAAGTTCCCTTTCCTTTTTGTTTCTTTCTTCCGATACGGTTGTTTTTAAGTCTTCCCTCCTTTAACTTTTTCCCATTGGTTTTTGTTGCTTTGTTTTGTTTTCAGATTCCGCCTCTCTTTGCCAGAGTCCATTCGCAGCAATATTGAGGTAGGAATCAGAGCTCTCAGAGTCCCCGTACAGGGAAAAATGAGAATTTTCCTATATAGTAGCTGGATGATTGTTTTCTTTGCCTCTGATTGTAGGTTTTAACTTTAAAATTCTTTATGTAGCTACTCATCCACCAAGCCTGTTAACTATTAAACTCTCCAATTTACTTTTATCTATTCAAAAAGACTTTCAAAAGAACTCAAAAGACTGTTAAGACTGTGTAATATTGGGGAGAAGAACCCAGACATTTCATTTTTTGGATAAAATAATCCTTTAGAGTTAAACTTAAGATTCAGACTACCAAAGGATGATGCTCTATATAATTATTAGACTACGATTAGGTTTGCTCTTAAAAGGATATCTACCCATCTCCTAAAATTAGGTCAAGGTGCCTAATTTTAGGAGGTTGTGTAGGTGCCTCTTCGGAGGGTCTAGCCTGGTGACCTCCTGACTGGAAGAGGTCATCCCAACATTCGACTTGGAAACCCGCCTCCCCAAGCTTCAGGAAGATCAGCCAGATCACTAATTGGTGCCCCTACCCTCATGTCACTTATGTTCTAGAGCACTGGTTCTCAATGCTTATATTCTAGAGCACTGGTTCTCAATGCTCATGTTCTAGAGCGCTGGTTCTCAATGCTCATGTTCTAGAGCGCTGGTTCTCAACGCTTATGTTCTAGAGCGCTGGTTCTCAACGCTTATGTTCTAGAGCGCTGGTTCTCAACGAGGGTCAATTTTCCCCTCCACGGGCATTTGGCATGTAGACATCTCTGAAAAATGACAATGCTATATACTGGGCATTTTACATAATATTAACTTGTTTAATCCTGATAACAACGCTCTGAGATTAGTACTATTATCTTCATTTTACAGTTGAGGAAATTGAGGCACAGAGAGATGTTTCCCAATATCACACAGTAAAATGGTAAAAACAAGAGATAAACCTAGGACACCTGCTTCAGAGCCACCCTTGCTAAGCTTCAAAGAGGTTCTTATTATTGCTAAGCATATAGGATGCTTAAAAAATATTCACTGAATGAACTGATGTTCATCATAGTGCCTTTGTTTTTAATACCTAAATCTTCCCAGGAACCAGCAGTTTGCTAAGATTATACAACTACCATAGTTTATTAAAGATAAATTACATGTTCTGGTGGTGCTATTAGCTATAGAGCATAATATAATACAAGGAAACTCCTGTGGCCAGGGTTCCCAATAAATTAATGGAAGACTACTAATTGGAATATCTATTAGTCATTCAAGATTATCTTACCTGATAAGTATCTAAGCTGTTATGTTTGCTGCCACCATGTGGTCCCTCTGCATTTGTTGTCACCACGATCTACTGTAGAGAGGAACCAAAATGTCCATCCTCAAAGAGGAAAAAAGATTAGGAAACCCTGTAAAATGGCTTCCCACAAAATAGCTTTCAGTGTCTGGAAAGCTAGAGTATCTCTATGGGGAGATGCTAATTATTGCTTTCAGTCCTGATAAAGACTGGGAGAGTACATGTCCAAACCAGGTGTGGTGCTTTCAAAATGCCCTGATTCGGCAACTGATTCAGTTCCCCTTTCATTTTAGGTCTTCAGGTTTGAGAATATTCTGTCTTCCATTCTCCACTTCGGAGTCCTCCCACTGGCCAATGGTAAGGGATTCTTGGGAAACAATGTGACACTGACATTGGCTAAGTGTTGGTGATTGTCTGGGACTTTTCCATCCTGAAGCTTGTACTTCTAATGTGTTCTTATGAATCGAGGCCAGCACCAGAATTGACAGAGTTTGTACCAACAACGATACAGTTTTGAAGTTAGATATTCCAGGTCCAGGCCTTGTTAGCAACTCTACTTGCAGACTCAGCAAGAACAGCTAACTCTGTTTGAGTTAAGGAGATTAAAACCACTCTCCTTAGGCAGTCAAGAGTCTCCTTCGGGTCAACCAGAAATGAGATGATGATCCTTAGAAGGTGTCTCTGTGGTTCTTATGCAAAAACCACCATCTGGACAGACACAGTTTTAATGAATGACAATCCTAGGCCTTCTCCCTACACTGCAATTGTTCACAAACTGTAGGATCTTGAGTTTGGCTTGGTTAAAATATGCTTTGTACTGGAGATCAAAATATTCTCAGGACCCACTAGTTAAGGTATTTTCAAAATACAAATTGGACAAGTTGCCAGCATTTTTCTGCCATCCAAATGCCCATAGTTGCAGGTGCATTTTTATTAAGCACAGATTAATTAACCATTCTTTCAGGGAAATGCTAGGGACATATCAGAGAGAATGAAGACACAGAACCAGGAAGAATGGAAAGATAAATTATCAAAAAGTTTCTTGTTAGTCTCTTACTAAAAGGTTTACTAAATCTTCCATGCCCATGCCCAATTATTTTACATCTTGTTCTATATTTTAGCAAAATTGCAGCAAGGATTTCCTCTGCCCAATCCACACAAAATCTCACTCGTCAATTCAGATATTGAAGTTCTTGAGGTAAGAATTGTCAATGTTAATTGCCCCATTTCTTTTCATAGTAAAATATACCTCTTCCTATTTTGCTTACTTTTTGTTTTATTTTGTTTTGCTTTGTTTTTTCCCAGCTCGAGGAATTTCATAAATAAGATGTTTAGCTCTTAAAGCCCATAATTAACAATGAAAAGCACTTAAACTTGAGTTTAAAAATCAGATCAAAGTGGAAAAAAACCCCATCAGACCAAGTCTGATTTCCCTTTGAAGCCAAGTTTATTCACACCACACTACAAGAAGATGCACTAGTGCACTGTATTTCATTTGTTCCACAAGACAACTTGTAAGGCTGGGATTATTAATCCCATTTTATAGATGAGGAAAGTAAGATCCAGAGAGGTGAAGTGGCTAGTGTCCTGGAAAAGGGCATATCTGAGACTAGACTGACTCTTCTGATTCTCTCAGTCAGTAAACTTTTGCCTGAACCAAAGACCCTCCTCTGGGTTCAGGGATCTGTTGTGAGCTGTTTCCTGGTTAATCATTATTAACAAACTTCAGAATACCTTGTTTCTTCCTTTCTGGGGCTTTTTGGTTTGGGGAGGTGAACATAAGATTCTGACAGAGTTCTCCAATCCTATATACTACCCTGCACTCCCTCTTCCCTCCCCATGTCCCTTTCTATAACTGCTTAAGTCACATAAGGTGACAAGAATCCAAAATGGCCTGTTCCTATGTCTGAGGCACTCACAAGGGGGACAGGGGTTAGGAAGGGTATTGCACAGTAGGACCTGGTAAAGAAACCACATCTCCCCAACCCCTCAGGCAAACTCAGACATCCTATGGCTCCAGGTGCCCCAAGTTTGATATCATCTTCATTGTTGCATCCTTTTCAGGGTTTCCTTTTGATTTCCACTGACCTGAAGTATAAAACGTCCTTAAAGCAGCAGTCAAGTTTCCATGGTTGGGAAGCTCTGAACCTGATAAGTGGACGGTGGAGGGGGAAGCCAGCCCCTTGGTTGCCTGTTTGGAGTCCACTCCAGGAAGTAAATCGCCCTTAATCCCACAGCTCCTGTAAAGCCAGAGCGGGAAGATGGTACACACAGGAATTGTAAAGCCATTGTGAATTGCTGGAAGTTTTCTTTTTCAAGCCCTCATGGATGTAGAGGGAGGCAAACTGGGTGAAAGGGCTCAGTCAGGATGTGTGTGTTCCCATGTGTGTGGAGGGGTATATGTTTGAATGTGTGTTCGTGTTTGAGTGCATGTTGTATGTTCCTGTGTCTGTGAGATTCTGGGGCCAAGAGTGAGGCATGTACTTCTAAGGAGGTGCATGAGAAACTCTCAAGTACAGATTTGCATCAGTTGTTATCAGCGGAGATCCCTTCAGCCCCTTCAGCTCTCTAAGGTTCCCCCCTCCCTGCATATTGGATTTTATGTTTTATATTTACTGTTACTGTCCCCTGTATTTAATTAAAATTGTTGACTATCAATGTCAATTTTGCCTTTTTATTTGCAAATTTTCTTGCCCCAGATTTTTTTTTAATAAAATAAGACTGGTAAGAAGAAAATTTAGTGTCCTTAACATTAACACAAACTGAGCTTGTACAGAATTCAAGAATTTTAAGTCCTTGATTTAAAAAGGGAATATGTTGTCTCTTTAGATGTTTCCAGAGAGAAACAGAGTGAACACAGGAAACTCTAGAAGTTGTATCACTTGTTTAAGTTTTAGGCTGTTTTCCCTTTCAAATTAAATGAAATGGCAGTGAAGAGTACTAAACCTAGATAAATCACAGTAGGTTAAGTTAAAGCAACCAATCAATGCGGCGAAATTGGGGCAGAAGAGGAGGAAAGGGGAACCCGTATGGATAATGTAGGAAATGAATAGAAACCACACTTTGCATTTGTGGTGCTGACAATCCAGTGGGGGAATGGAAGAGAGCTGTTTACTGGAGGGCTTACCAAGTGTCATTTAATTTAATCCTCACAGCCACTCTGTGAAGAATTATGATCCCATTTTATAGATAAGGAAACAAAGGTTAAAAGAGATGAATCACACAAAGCCAGTAAACAGCAGAGGTAAAAATTCAATCAAAGCCTTTCTGATTTCAAAGTCGCTGTTCTTTACATGAGGTAGGATTAGAAACCGAAGGCACTTAAAGCTCACTTATTACTGTGAAGAAGCGACACTGGATAAAAGCACGATCACAGAGTACTTAGTCATCACAGAAGGCTGGACTGGGAAGCTCTGGCTATCCATAGGGACTGCCATTTACCCATCTTCGTATTGCTCATAAAATAGCAATAGATACCCCCGTAATAGAAGCCCCTGTCAGTGTTGTTGGAATAAATGATAAGCTGTCACGTTTCATTCTTTGGAATGCCCTTTTCTGAAAGAAAAGTTATTTAATGTGTTCACAAATTCGTTTTGAAACATTACAAAATTTCCGTTGTGGTATTTATTTAAACACGTTTCTCTTCCTCGGCTGCAGACATTTCTTCCCCCTCACTACTAGGGAGGTAAACTCCAAGCAGATGGATTCTTTAGAACAACTGGACCTGATCCCGATTCAGTGTGTTTTTCAGTGCTGGAAAACACTTCCAAAACGAAGGATAACTAGATCATACTAAAAACTACTGCACTGCATTTAGCCTAGCTTTAGCCTAGAAGAAAATGACTAGTTAACATCCAAAAAGTAAACGCTAGAGGACAGTCTAACTTAAAAAAAAAAAAAAAGCGATTGGTGCGACGAGTTTTGAGCCTCGGCGCTAGCCGTCGCCCATCCTGCCGCGGAGCTGACTGCGCCTGCGCGTTGAGTTCCGGAAGTTGGTGTTTCGGTCAGCGGGACAACGCGGCAGCGGCTCTTCAAAGCGAAGCCGGGAGTTTTCGCCACTCTTGTCGCCGCCATGAGCCGCAGTTATAACGATGAACTGCAGTTCTTGGAAAAGGTCAATAAAAGCTGCTGGAGAATCAAGAAGGGCTTCGTGCCCAACATGCAGGTGAGGCGGGGGAGCAGGACCCGGTGTCGGGGCCTTCCCGGCTGGGGGCCCGTGGCGCGTCTTTACCCACCCGGCCCGGTCTCCTCCGAGCCCTCCCGACCACTCGCGCGCCGGAGAGGCCCCCGCCCACAGCAAAGTTCCCATCCCACCCCACCCACTCCTCCCGCCTCCGGGGCTGCCCAACCTAGGCCGGCCCCACCTCACGGATGGAGCGGTCCCCGAACCGCGAGGACGAGCAAAGCGGAGTGCGTCCAGGGAATCCCAGTAAATACGAAATTGGCCTTTGCAAAGCGTCTTCACACAGAAGTCTCATGAACGCACCGTGAGATGTGTTACGTCCCTGAGCCTTAGAGACATTAGTGGGCTTTTACTAGGGGGCACAGCCAGTCCGGGGTGCAGTTGCTGGGACTGAACTCCGCTTCTCTGAGTCATACCAGTCATTTACATAACGTTTACTGACCTGTGTTCGCTGAACCAAGTTTCTAGCATTCACTGCTCCGTGTTGGGTTTGTTGTTGTTTTTTTAATTGACATGCGCGGAGTTTTAATACAACGATCTTGCTTCTCGTGGCAACCTAGAAAGTTCACAGGGCAGGTTTTTTCTTTTTAATATGCACTTTTTAGTAGGGCTTTGAGCGTGAGTCGCTTACACGGCTTCTTTTACTCACCCAGTAGAAGCTCAGCTAAGACGTGATGTCCAGTTCACTTATTTTTCCTCTGACAGGATGACGTCTTCCCGATGGAGACTTGGGAGCCCGATACCAGAGAGTTTGAAAGCCAGGTCTCTGTATCTCTTGGGCTTCCTTGTCATTTGTGCTTATGGTCTTCCATTAAAGTGAAGAAGGCGGCATTTGTGAGGTTTTGGTGCATATGTTGTTAGACGGCTTTTGAAATCCCTTTAGGTGCCCTGCAAGTGTATTGAAGGTTTGTGATCCTGCGTCTTGGTAAAAGTTCCCAATAGCCGCTCCACCCTTTTACTCAATATTAAAACTTATTGAGCGCCCCCTATGAGCAAAGCACTTAGCTAGACGCTGAGCGGAGAAAAAGCCCATAGTCGCAAACCTCCCTTTTGCTCTGTTTTTTCCTTTGACTAGTTTCTTTTTATGGAATCCAGTTCCCTGCATGGAGTAGAAAATAAAAAGCATATGACCATCCTAAGAGGATTGTAACACACACTGTTATGTTCCGTCAGCAATTCTGGCTTAACTTTTGATGCACACACTCCTGCTAATTCAGCTTGGGGACAAGTCTGATTTTTGCTAGGCAGTTCCAGTTTAACTATTTGAACAACACTTTACTACCACCCCTCCCTTGGGAAGGGAGAGTTGAAATCTTGATATATTGCTCTTAAAAAGTTACTGACCTTTATGGTAGGCTTGTGTTGTATTCCCAGTCTCATGAGAGTAGTGAACTTCACACTTACAATTCCCTATCTCTCTTGCTTAATCTCCATTCCTCCTGTAAGAACCGTGTGCTGCACTAAAAATTCCTCTTTGTTCCTTAAAAATACTTCTCTCCCATCTTTATGTCATCTTTCCATTCAGCTCCTAAATGTGTTGCTGCTGCTCCAGTGATGTCTCTTGTCTTTAAAGAGCCAGCTCAGTGTTCACAAAAAGTTAACAAACTGTGAAGCGTACCCCCACCCCGGCTACCGCCTCCCTAGACTGTTGAGCCCCTTCTTCATCAGATTCTTCCGTAGTGCTCTGTGCTTCTATTACAGCACTTGCCTCATTGCACTCTACGTTTTCTAGTCTGAGCTTCATGCTAGACTAGAAGTTCCACAACATCACGATCTTGCATATTCTCTGTATCTCCCCTACTGCGCAGTACAGTGCCTGACACGTAATGAGTCCTCAGCAAATGTTTGGTGAATTAATAAATGTGGCCCTTTGGAAAATTGAGACATTTTCCATAACTGGTATTGTTATTCATGCAGTGGTAAGATGCAGAAGTCATCTTTCTGATAAATAAATTTCCTTGTCCAGATGATTGTTAAATCTTTGGTTCTTCAATGCTTGGCAGATCCTTCATAATATTTGATCTCTGATTAAAATGTTCTGTCCTTTGGTGTTACATAATCATGTCTTCCATTGCCCTTTGTGTGCCTCTATTGTCAAGCTTTTTTATCCCCTTAAAATTACATAGATGGTAAAACTAAGCACACAGCTATATAGCTACTTGTTAAAATTTTTTTACTCACTGTTTACCTAAGTACAGATTTGTAAATCAGAATAGGACACAGTAAAGTGTAGTGTGCTGTTGTCTTAGACCTAGATAAAGTACACTTAGGTCAGATGACTGCATTTTTATGTTTAGATCTGAGTTTTTGATTCATTTATTTTTTTCAAAACCTACTGATATTTTAGAAGCACAAGAATACTGAGACCTTTGGCCTTAGAGCATTGTTGGAAGACGTTTCTTTAGCACACACACACACACAAAATATTTTACCTGTTGAACTTTTAAATATGGCCTATGAGAGTAGGAGAATAAACAAAATGATTTGTGAACATTGTAAAATACACTTTTAAGATATAAAGATGGGAACATCTTGTAAGAAGTTTTCTGCTTGTTTAAGGTAGCGTGAAAGTGTTTTATAAAGAGTAAAGCAAAATAAATATTGTCTACAGTGTTTGTATTCTATCCTGTACTTATATACATCAGGTCCATGTGCTCAGACATAATTCTTCCTTTTCTTTGGTACCAGGTTGAAGGAGTTTTCTATGTGAATGATGCTCTGGAAAAATTAATGTTTGAAGAATTAAGGAATGCCTGTCGAGGTGGTGGTAAGTAAATTAGAGTTTGACATGCGGCGGTACAAGTAGTGTCTACCTTGTGGCCTGAAAAATGGTAACTCAAAGAATTATAATTTAAAAATACAAAAGTGTTGTCAAGGAATGATCAAGACTTCAAATGAGACGAGAACCCGTTACTTATTCGTGATCACATTGTTAGCCACCTGGCCTTGTAGAAAGCACTTGGAGCTGGATGGACCTGATTGGTTTTGCACCTAACCTCGGACAGTAATAACAATAGCTACCATTTATTGTGCACTTACTATGTGCCAGGCACTTTACATAGGTTATCTCATGTAATTCTTAAAGTAACTCTAAGAGGATATCTCCATTTTACAGATGTTTAAGTCAAGGCTGAGTGAAGTTAAGTCATTTTAATTTGTCCAAGGTTGCGCAGTCTCTCAGTGACAGAATCAGAATTCAGATCCAGGAGTGTCTGATTACAAAGTCAGTACACTGATTAGCCTCATTGAACTTCAGTTTTCTCATCTGTAAAAGAGAGTTTATAACACCTATCTTGCAAGACTACAGGGAGGTTTAGAGATAAATGTATAAAACTGTAATATAATGTTCTAGTGGTAATGGTAGAATAGAAATCTAGTTTTAACCCTTTTATTTTTTTAGTCAACAAACCTAAAATAAATAAGTCTCATCCTGCCCCCCACCAGGGTGTGCTGACTTGTCTGAAATGACACACAGCCAGTG